CCGTGGTCTTCTTGGAAAGATTGATATTAAACTCCACCCGGAGCTTTATAGGCTTTTGGATGAAGATGAAACTCTGGAGCAGTTCTTGCGCTTGCCTCCAGAGCAGATTCTCCTGCGTTGGTTCAACTACCATCTCAAGAACGCCAAGTGGGATAGACGGTATGTCCGCCCCAAGCGAGAAAAACTGAAGAAAGACATGTGACTAACCGATGTAGGGTGACGAACTTCTCTACCGATGTCAAGGATGGAGAGAACTACACCGTTCTCCTTAACCAATTGGCACCCGATGTTTGCTCGCGTACCCCTCTCCAAACTCGAGACTTGCTTGAGCGGGCTGAGCAGGTCCTCCAGAACGCCGATTCGCTGGATTGCCGGAAGTTCCTGACCCCAACCTCATTGGTTGCCGGAAACCCCAAGCTGAACCTTGCCTTTGTCGCCAACCTATTCAATACCCACCCAGGACTGGACCCGATCACGGAGGAGGAGAAGCTCGAAGTTGAAGACTTTGACGCTGAGGGTGAGCGAGAGGCCAGAGTCTTCACTCTATGGTTGAATTCGTTGGATGTTCAGCCTGCGGTCAACTCACTCTTCGATGACCTACGCGATGGTTCTGTTTTGTTGCAGGCATACGACAAGGTCATTCCCGGAAGCGTGAACTGGAGACATGTCAACAAGCCACCAGCGTCTGGTGGTGAATTGATGCGGTTCAAGGCCGTTGAAAATACCAATTATGCAATCGAGCTTGGGAAGCATAATGGTTTCTCCCTTGTCGGCGTCCAGGGCGCTGATATCACCGATGGCCAACGAACCCTCACTCTCGGATTGGTGTGGCAGCTGATGCGCCGTGATATCACCAACACACTCTCTGCGCTGGCCCAACGGCTGGGCAAACGCGAAATTACTGACACTGAGATGATCCGCTGGGCCAATGACATGTCTAGCAGTGGCGGCAAATCTTCCACGATCCGCAGCTTCAAAGACAAGTCTATCGGATCTGGAATCTTCCTCCTTGATGTGCTCAACGGCATGAAGAGCAGCTATGTGGATTACGATTTGGTCACACCCGGTCGAACCGATGAAGAGGCATATGCAAACGCTAAGCTTTCTATCAGTATCGCCAGAAAGATGGGTGCCACCATTTGGTTGGTCCCGGAGGACATCTGTCAAGTGCGGTCTCGTTTGGTCACAACGTTCATTGGTAAGTTCATAATTTCGTCGGTATGGCAGGACTTGCAGTTTCTAACAAATGATAGGTTCTCTTATGGCTACTCACGAGAAGATGTAAGGAATACAATTGTTATGGCATTGCATAGGTTTTCTTTTCCTTTTTTTTTTTTGTCTCCTCCAATACATGTAAATCTGCCGCTTCTCAAGGCGAACCTAACCAAGTGTGGATTTCAATCAAAGTTTTATTGTTACCATGTTAGATATTTGCCGCCCCGATTGATTAGAGGTACTGATCAAACCATGCGACTGCCTGTAAAAAGGCAGACTCTTTAGCAAAGCGGATTGTCGGTTTGGTGATATCTGCGCGGACAGCAAACCCATGCTCAACGCCACTGAACAAGTTGATCTGGTACGGCTGGCCAGTTTTGGCGAGGATATCCTCGGATTCATGGCGCTTCGGGGCCGGGAAGATTGAGTCGGTTTCTATCAATAAGTTAGTCAAGACGCTGTAGCCGGATCATCTATAATAATGATTTACCAGCCGCAGCAATAGACAGCGGGCCCTGGATTGCTTGTAATTCCTCTGTGTCGACGAAACTGGGGTGCGCCACATAAGCAACATCGCAAAGGCCTGGCTGGAGCAGTCGGACGGCGTATTTTGCCTGTATCTGTCAACTCGGGTAGCAGCAAAATATATACAGGACATGAACCATACCCCGAAACAATATCCAACAGCACCGACTCGCTCGCAGCCCATGTTGGACTTCATTTCCTTCAGTATCGCCTGGACCACAGGTTCTACACGGTTTGCCAGATGACCCGGGGGACCTTTTAGCCAACTCATCAGATCGAAGCTAGCGGGGCGGTTGTTCAACGGCACCGGATCACCGTGGAATAGGTCTGGCATGACGACCAAATAACCATTTGCCGCTAACTGGTCTGCAATAAGCTGCGCATTAATGAAGCGGTGACCAATTACATCGGTAAGTAGTAGGATGGCACGCTTGGTAGAACGCTCGGGGCGTGAAATGTAGACCTCGACTACGACCGTCAGCGAAACTGTAGTCTATCTCCAGAGAACCAGAAGTATGGACCATCGTCGATTTGTTGAAGTTGACCCTTGGCTTCGCCTTCATGTTTAACGCCAATGGCGCAGCAGGCAGCTGGTGGATTGGATGCCATTCAGATATAGTTGAAGGAATTGATAGAGAGAGAGGGAGAGAGAGGGAGAGAGAGAGAGAGAGAGAGAGAGAGTATATAAGGCGGTATGGTCTGTGCCCATCCCCGCAAAGTACATTTGCGCTTATGTCTTCGGTTGTAGAATAACAAATTGAATCAAATCAAATCAAATCAAATCATAACATGGGTACTGTAGCCCCATAAGCTATGTGGAGGATTGAGGATTTCTTTACAGGTGTTTTATATCATCGTGGAAAGTAGCCTCGTATCTAAGCCATTGCGAACCGTATCAGACCAAGCATAAGGTATCATATCCATTGAAGCAGAGTGACGATCCATGGATATCTAGATACCATACCAAATCAAATGATCAGATATAAGCTGCACAGCAGACTTGGCCCCGTGAAAATGCCCAGCCAAAAGACAATATTGCCCAACAAACGGCGACCTCGCATCAGACGAGTCCGGCTTAGCGCAACAAGCGGCAGTTGAGACATCTGAAGGATTAGTAGGTAACCTCGGAGTCGCCGGAAGATGCACAGCATGAGCAGCTCATGTACACATGCAGATAAGAGAAAAGTGATGAGACTGGCAGACACCCGCGACAAACGGTATTCGCTAATGGAGCCATGGTATACATGCCGAAACAAGAAGTTATGCACAGGACGGTTCCAATCCCGCGCGAACTGATCCCACGAGACCGAGTTCCACCAGTTGGAATAGAACCCTCGATCTGCAAACATGGTGATCTCGGCTACAGCATTGAGCTAGATGAACTTAGCAAAAATAAAATCAAGGTAGCAAACAACTAGAGAGAGACTTACAACACATTCCCAGATTACGTAGAATGCCAGTAGATACTCCATCATGAACGGAAAAAGCAAGTCACCGAGAACCCAGGGAAATTCCCGGAGTCTCTGCTGCGCGGTCATTCCCTCCTCTTTCATACGCACCGTGTCCATTACCACCGGGTATATCCACGATTGAGAAACTGCGATCATAACCACAATGATGCCAAACGTGGCCAGTGTTTTCTCTGCGACATAGAGCCAATCGATTTTCTTGGTCCGCGGGTATTCAAGTTCATAGACCAATGTGGGCAATGTCATGAAGTCGCAGATATTTCCTATTGTCAAGTTTCGAGGATAGTGATTGTTGGTTAGTGAACACCGGCCCTTTAATCCCTCAGATAAGACTTCGATCTCCTGCTCGAGTAGTTCTCTGAGGGATCTCATCTGGCTCGATTCAAGTGGAACGCCGGTCTCAATCGTTCCAATAAGAGATAAAAGCTGGTCGGTTTCATGGGACCGAGAATAGTTTTGGAGTTCAGAAGAGCGCTGACTAAAGTCTTTCTTCTTGAGGTCCGTGATCTCGGCATTGAGCTCCGCATCAACTGCAGAAGAGTACCCCCTTTTCGCAGAAGTAGGATGTCTTCTTTCTTTGGCTCTGGTTTGGCTAAGACTTGCTTGACTTGCTTTCAACATATTTCGTTTGCGATACATTTCCGATACTGCACCCATTAGCACCAGCTCATGACTGCACGGAAATCGACATACAGTAGCCATTGTAAGCTGCATAGCTGTGTTGCTTCATCAGCATAGCCAAGCAGTGTAATACGATAAAGACAGTGTGCGTCCACGGCCAATCACGATGGTATGCCCACCATATAACGACTCCAAGGTATGTCGTTTGCCAGATCTGGATAAGTCAGCAATGTAACAGGGTTGGAGGGGCAAAACTTTGGAGGCTAACATTCTGAATGAGCCAACCGAGACCGTTCCAGCGAATGTATCCCTGGAGTACCACTCGTTGTAGTATCAGACAAACCCCGGTAGACCAACAAAGGAGCAAGTCAGTCAACCCGAGGACCATGACATCTTTATCCATCATGAGACGGATAATCTCGTTCTTGCCCCATATGCTGCCATATGTTCTCCAATTGTTAGCAGCAAGCCGGAACAACATCAGGGTCACCCCCATCCAGAAGAGAACAAAAAAGCCATGGAACTGGGGAGCAGTAGTCCCCAGATTTTGAAAAGTACTCAGTTGCCGGGTGAATTTCAAGTCCTGAAACCTGAATTTCCGTTTTTCACCCGACTGATGTGAGAGATTGTGTTTGAGAATCTCTTGTAACAGCTCGGCATCGTCTGCGGTGAGCAAGTATTGATCATCTTTCTCAGTCTCGGTTGATTCTAGTTCTTCCATACTTGTGCATCACAGTAGATTGTTTCAAATCTCAGGGATTTCAGGAGATCTGCAGTCTATTTCGTTTTCCCTTGGCGCGTTAAAATGCGGTAAATGCGGCAAATGACATTTTGTGGAGCTGTGAGTTCTGCCCAGGTGGATTTGGAGTATTCCAGAGATATAGAAGAGTATAAATTAGATTAAATCAAAGTAATAAGATTAGGTATATCAAGTATCAAGTAGAAGAAGGTGGAAGGTAGAAGGTCGAAAGTCGAAAGTCGACTATAAAGTGAGAGAACAATAGCTCTAAGCTTCCGTGTCACATGAAATTCTGCCCCCTGGAGGTTTGGTCTCTCTGTCTCTCTCTGTCTACCCTCTCTCTCTCTCTCTCTCTCTCTCTCTCCCTGTCTACCTCTATCTCCCCCTTCCTACCATCCTATACTATCCATTGACCCCTGTTCCATTGAACAATGGATACACCACAAACTCCCCAAGTTCGGGTTCCTGGCGAAACCCCCGAATCAACACAACCCGAACCCAATGCGACTGCCACTGCCACTGCCACTGCAAACCACAATTCTACTGAAGTAGAGATGGGAGGAACACAGAACACAAACCAAGCTGAATCTGAACCTATGCAACAAGATGCGACACTTCCAGATGTGCAGGCAGAGCCAGAGCAACCTGCCCCGGCAAAGAAGAACCCCGGGTTTAACTTTCTTGAGTGAGCATTCTTTTCCCAGACATTTGCGACACAATTTCTTTTTTTTTGTTTGTTCAAAATGGCTTCACCTTCCATTATCCCAATCATTACTCGCCAGCTCACAACCACTTCTAGCTTCCTGACTTCACCGATCGTTGAGATTATCGTTGGACAAGGTGACGATGAGACTGTTATGACAGCTCATCAGTCCCTCCTGATGGAGTCGCCACTACTAGCCGAGTTGGTTGACAAATTTGAAGCGTCGGGCCCGGTGAGTTCATTCGTTCATATCTAATACCACGTATATTTCTCATACTAATTGGTTGTCATTAATAGCGACGCATCACCCTGCCAGAAGAGAACGTCGATGCCTTCAGTTGCTTCCTTCAGTTCCAGTATACGCGTGATTACACTGTGGTTCAAACAGAAACACCCGGGGAAACAGCTGAAGACAAAAGTGGTGACGAGTTGCTGCGCCATGCGCGCATCTACACCCTGGCAGAGAAGCTGGGCCTGCCAACGCTCCAGCGTATTGCCCATGGCAAGATTCATAAGGTCAAGAGCTCACCTAACGCGGAGCTTTCATATGCCCGTTATGTATACACTCATACACCAACGGCAGACACTACGATTCGGAAGCCTGTGGCGACTTACTGGGCGAACCAAGCCCACGTATTACGCCAGGAGGTTGGGGATGAATTTAAGAAGCTGTGCATTGAAGTCTCGGAGTTTTCCTTTGATGTTTTGAATATCATTCTGGATCGTAAGTTGAAGAACGGATCGGTGGATGAGGTCAAAGGAAGTGCGCGCAAGCGTAGAAGAGACATCTAGTTATTACTAGTTATAGAATCACATATCCGAGGATAAACGGTCTATCATAATTTGATATGAACGTCCTTGAACGGACCGCGGGCAAAAATTGGTCAATGACCGCAGGGTGAACTGCTTTTTTATAAGGCCAGGCTCTCCACTTCCTCAATGAATTTCGGGGCCGTGGTCAGATTCTCAGAACCATCCTTGGTGATGTGGATGTTGTCTTCGATGCGCACTCCTCCCACACTCCAATACCGCTCCAAGACCTCGGTATCGATGTACTTACCAGTATCGGGCGCCTTTAAGATGGGATCGATGATGAAGCGACAGAAATAGATCTGGGAACATAATAAGAATTGGGCGTTGGGGAAGAGGATACTCAAGGGGGTATTACTTACACCGGGCTCAACGGTGACCACAGAGCCAGCAGGCAGGTTAGCGCGAACACGCAGGTAGCGGAACATGGTATCCTTGTCCTCATAGTTGGGGTTACCACCGGTATCATGGGTGTCCATTCCCAGGTAGTGACCGAGGCCATGAGGGAAGAAGGCCACGCTGACACGCTTCTCGAACAATTCGTCCTCGGATCCGCGAAGGATACCCAGCTTCAACAAGCCACGAATAGCAATACGATGTGCCAGCGCGTGCACGTCATCCCAACGCACGCCTTCCTTAAGCATCGCAATACATTCTGCCTGCATCTGGAGGACAATCTCGTAAATCTGACGGGTCTCAGGCGCAAACCGTCCATTCAGAGGAATAACACGTGTGATATCGGCGCAGTAAGTCTGGTATTCACCGCCAGCATCGATGAGAACGTTATTCTTCCGCTTCTTAGTGATGGGGTCGACCAGGTCGACATCGTTTCTAACATAGTGAAGAGTAGCACCCCCCTCACCTCCAGCAACGATGGGGTGGTAGGATTGCTCGCGACATCCATTGGCAATACAAGCGCCGATTATGGCAGCCTCGATCTCGCGCTCGTTAGTCGCGGTCTTGGAGGCCTGGATAGCAGCGATGTGTGCTTTGGTCGAGATATCGTTTGCCTTTCGCAAAAGCGCAACCTCGTACGCATCCTTGATGACCCGAGTCTCCTCGATGGCAGTCTTCAGACCGGCTGTGTTTGTTTCAGCGAAGCCCTGGAAGCTTGTGCCCTCTGACACCTGTTCGGCGATTGCAAAAGCAGCAGTTTGTCCATTGTGGTTCGAGGCGATCGACGCCAAAGTCGAATTCACATCGGTTGTGAACAGAACGCGATCCACATCGTAGAGCTTGGCAGCCTCCTCGGGAGATAGAGGAAGACCAGACCAAATGACTGACTCTGGGTCGATCGGGGGAATGAACAGAGTCAATTCATCTTTGCCTGCATCGTATACCACGGCGGCATTGGGCAAAAGACATCCAGTTAGATAGAAGAAAGGACGACGTTGCCTAGACTGAGTTAGTGTCAGTCCAGATCCTATAGAAATGTCATATTACCTGAATGGCATATCCTCATCGCTATCCTCGATCAATCGAGTTTTTTGAGCCTCGAGGTAGATAACTCCGGCCCCGCCATACCGGGCCTTAAGAGATTCAGCGACACGACGAGCATGGGCCTTAGCCGGATACTTGGCAATGAGAATGTTATCCACAGTTGTCATATTTATTGAATGAATAGTTGGAGAGAGAGTAGAAAAGAAAAAGAGAGAAAGAAAGAAGAGAAAGAAGAGAAAGAAGAGAAGCAGTGATTTAATCTATTTACTAAGACGAGGTTACATTGCGGGGCTTAAGAGATTATGTAGGCGGATGCTGTCAAAACACATCTTCCCCAATGAACATCATCCACATATTATTCGGATTATTCAGGTTATTCAGGTTATTCGCATGATTCGGAGGATTTATAGAACATCAATCTCTCCGTTAACTCTCGGAAGCAGACACATCTTCAAATTCCATCTCCCATTGGTCCACTTCCGCAAACTTCTTGACGGCCGCACGCAACTCATCGCTCACACAACGAGTGGCCTCTGTTTCCATAGATTCGGAATCAGAGACATCAACATCGGACTCAGGTGGTGATGACAATGGAGAAGAGGTTGGTGATGACAGAACAGTTTCGTTTTCTTTGTTGACACCACTCACTTGAGAACGTGAATATGTAGCTGGTTCTGTTGGACCCGTCGATTTATCCTTAATTTTCTTCTCTTTAATCTTCTTCTGCTTTGGATTGTGGGCGGTGGATAATGGTCGGGGCTTGTTTTTCCCTGCCCGTCGCCCGGTCAATCTTTGTGATGGATAGTTCAGCTCGTCCTCGTCACCAGATGCAGCGTCATGCTGATCATCACTTTCGTCGCTGTAAGCATTGATAGCGTGGGGTCTGCGCCGGCGACGGGGTAAAAGCTTGTCTTGTAGGTTTGCTGTCGATAGATGACTCGGAGCTTTGGACTTTTTCCTCTGAACAGGTCGCGGTGTGGAGTCACCAGGTGTAGCGGAGCCAGCAGGGCTGCTGGCCGGTGGTAACATAGTCTGGCTCATTATTTCTGGGAATTGTTGGGACTGCGGTGTAGCCTCGACTCTTTCAACCTCATCCTCCTGATCTTCAGTTTCCTCATCGTCGGGCTCTACCACCTCATCTTCAATAAGTTCGTCACCAATGTCATGTCGAGAGTTGTCGCGTTGAATCGGTGTTGCAGTTGGAGTATCTTCTACCAAGTCCACAGGCGACTGTGGTACTTGAATCTCTTGAGTCGTGCGCTTGCGCTTGCGCGATCCACCAGACGAGAGCGGTGATTCGGACGGTGACGGGGATGACTTTTCAGTTGGGTTGAGGAGTAGTGACTTTCCCCGAGAGAGATTCAATGGCGTTGATTCATCATTGGGGCTAAGCCCACCAAGGAAGTCATCATCATCAAGATCGGAAGAGCCATCGTCGGCTTGCATCATCTGTAGAATGCTCTGCTGTCGCGGCCGCCGCCTGAAGTTGCTTAGAACCGAATTATCAAATCCAGGCGTTCCAGGAACTCGGGAGTTTGTGTCGCCTTTGCGTCCAGCAAATGATAGTGTAGAGGAATATCCACGCGATCTGGTAGGGGGACGACTGCCGGTTCCAGGTCGACTGCCGGTGCCTGGCCGGTCCCCAGTGGGTGAAGATTCAATTGCTTGTTCATGACTTTTGGTCAAGGGTGTTTGACTGCGTAGCGCCTGTCTCGGATCCAAGGCTGATCCTGATCCGCGCTCGGGCTGCACAGGCGATTTGGCGACATTGGGGTCAATTTGTTGTGTTGACTCTCCTATCGCGACTTTTTGGGGTTGACTTTTTCCCACTGTACGACTTCGTTTAGGGGCAGGACGAGGCATGATTGAATAAATTGAGAACCAACGTAGTTATGTTCTGGGAGCCACAATGGGTTGCGCTACAAAAAAGAAAGATCGACGCGTTTGTTTGGGACGCGTGCACGTGGACCACATGTGACATCGAATATCGAATATCAACTTATCTTCTCAACTACAATTCTATATTTCGTACATATACTACTATAATATATATACATATATATCTACTATTTCGCTTGTGCTTTGATGGTCTCGTATTTTCCCTTCCAATGTCACAGTCGCAGCCCTGTATGCTCAACTTGCCACGGACTCACCCCCGTATTGAGTTAGGCCCAACTAATTATACAAGCACGAGCACATGAAAAAGACTTGAATGGATTATACATTAATGCCATGCCCCAGATTTTCCGGATCATTCCTTAGATACCCCTTTCTTCTTGTCTCTACTCATCATCAAGTATGGTCTGATGCCCGTCATGCCGACCAACCCCTCGGTTTGGAGTGGAATGCAACGTTAGTTACAATTGGAGACAATCCCAGCTTGGAAAAAATGAATCTACCCCCAGAAAATGAGACGGTAGACCCCATGGGGGACTATGCAGTTAGCGACACATCTATCGGCAAGAAAAAGCGATCCAATACAGAAGCTGCCGAATATCCCAGGAGACGGGCAACAATAGCTGTAAGCGCCTCTAGAAGATTTGAACGGGGGCCAATTTGACTTGAATTTAGTGTCAAATATGCCGGCTACGCAAGACCCGATGCAATGGGGCTCGTCCCAAGTGTCAACTCTGCTCCGATTTGAATGCGGAATGTGTCTATCGAGAACCTGGTATCAAACTCGACGCTGGCGACAAGCTCATCCTAGATCATTTGGCCAGAATTGAGAGTTTGCTACACTCGAATTTACCAACCCAAGGGTCACACTTAGCCTTGTCCGCTACTTCCCCGGCTACTAGTAACGATACAAATCTCGGTAGCGATGATCCGTCAACGAAAACATCACCCAGCGGCATGTCAGTCCATGGAAGGTTGTCTGCTGTTGGACTCGGTTCCTGGGTCAACTTACCTGCTAGTCTAAGCATCTCTACGATGCCCAAGATGCATACCACTCCTGCTCTTCATCTTCTCCAATGGCCCCTAATTCGGGACTTAGTCTCTGGGGCCTGTGATCCACAGCACCTTCTTCAATTGGAGATGGCCCGTGAACCATTGCGGCTGACTCCGAATTCTGGCTTTGATTTGACAAATGCATCCACGTATGCCCAGGCATTTTTCAAATATGGAAACGTTTGGTACGCCTGCGTGAACCCATACACGTGGAATCGATATTATCAATCAGCTCTCGCGCAGGGATTTCAGGAGGGGCCCATGAGTTGTCTTGTCCTTCTGGTCTTGGCCCTAGGAAGCGCCAGTCATAGTGGCAGTATCTCGTTTGTGTCACCAGATCGTGAACCGCCAGGGCTTCCATATTTTGCCGCTGCGTGGAGCTTCCTACCGTCGGTTATGATGCGAAACACCGTGGTTGCGGCGCAGTGCATGGTTATGGCCTCTGCCTACCTATTCTATCTCGTGCGACCCCTGGAAGCCTGGACCTTGCTATCCAGCGTGAGCATGAAATTGCAATTGTTGTTTGGCAGTCCAAATCGAATCCCGACTCAGTGGAGAGAGCTGAGTGTGAGGGTATACTGGAATACTTTATT